TCGTCGTAGAGATAGCCGCCTTCCTCGCCAGACCTTCCGCCACGAATTTGATGCCCGGAGGAGTTCCACACGGAGCAAACACCAACTTTGAGGTCTGGAGCGCTTGATCGGGATACAGAAGAATACTTTCCTGGGGCTCATGAGGTTCTCCGGCGGGTTGGCCACGATTGCCATTGTGCATAAAGGCCGAAAATATCTGCTTGATAAGATTCTGAATCCCATGGCGTCTTCTTCCGGCCGCAATTAAAATTGCATCCTCGAACGCTGCCGCAGCTCCCGCGTTGTCCCCCAATGCATAAAGCATGTTTCCTTTGGCGTGGACAAGAGCCAATATCCGTCCATTGTCGCAGCCGGGTATAGAGTATCCACTCGAGCCGAACCCGGCGGTTTTTGCGTCAGCTGGACCATGGATCGTGGATACAGATCGACTAAAATCATCGTCATAATCGAATGTGGCTTTCTCGTACGAGCCCAAATCTGACGCGCTGGAAGCTCTGCTTTCAGCATCGCTTTCCGTTTCGCTCGCATGCTCGTCCGCTTTGAAACATTCTCCACCAGGAGAAGAACGTAGAGAGTTCTGCACAAATTCGATAATGTTTACTGCCTCCTTGCCCCGTTGGCTGCTGCACAAAAGGCCAATCAAATGCTCCACGGCTTCAAAATAGCTTGGGCGCAGTTTCACAGCGCGAAACCAATGTTGCAAAGCTTCATCCCGGCGATCAAGCGCTAGAAGCGTAGCGGCGAGGTTGGAGATCGCCTCCACGTGTCTGATCTATTGTTAGAGGTCTAATTGTCAGCTGTCATGAAGGATACTCACGTAGAATCTCGGGCGATGATCCGCGAATACCACCGTGTAGCCTTATTATAGTCACCGAGACCATAAGCCAGGCAACCTCCGAGAAGCATGCCATCGATCCATTCCCAACCACTTTCCATACAGAGATGCGATAGCATCTCGAGAGACGATACAGCATTGGCAGTCGTAGAGCCCTCATTGAGGGACGGCGCACCAAAACGAGAGGCAGAAGAGGTAGCAGAAAATCGACTGGTGTGGCGGACTCGATCGAGCATCTGAACGTCAGGTCTCGACGCATGATAATCGAAATGGGCAGGTGGAAAGCTGTTGTGGCGAGAAAGGTCACTACAAGCGGCGCTTGAGAAGTCAAGTCCGGGCTGCCGAGGAGGTTTAGGGTATATGCTCGGCTTCAGGAGCCGTTGACTCGGGCCCTCAGTGGCAGAATTGGAAATGCTGTTTCGCCGGGCCTGGTGTATAGATGCGAGAAGATCCACATAGACCCCATGGGCCCATGTCAACACCTTCTCTTTGAACTCTGCGTTCGCTGCACGTGAGTTACCCACAGGGTCCATGTTCTGAGGTCCCTGACTGCCTGCAGAACTCGGCCATGACGATTTATCGTGAGTCAGTAGCGACGGAAAACCACAGCTCGAGGTTGGTTGGCGGGTATGGAACGGGAGCACCAATTGGTGCTGCGAGGTATCCAAAATCTTCTGTTCCGAGTGGCGTCGAGGAAAATTATTCTGCACGGGCAACTCAGCATTGAGCATCCCCGTCGGGGTAGAGTTCCAAGCTAGAGTCGAGTCAGGATGGCTAGCTGCTGATAACCCTGGTCGGTTCAATGGCGGTTGAACAGCATCGAGGAATTGTAGACTAGAAGGATTGACGGCCTTCAGAAACGGACTTGGGGTATGAAAACGAGTATCACGAAACGCTGCTGGGCGATAGGGAATGTAAGCCCCGTCGGGCCAGTACGGTCCATACGGACCGGTTCCTGCTGAAGCGGTGGGACCAACGCACGGCTGCAAGGTTGCGGGGAGCACCGTGGGAATATAGGCACCATTGTGCCAGTAGAACCGCTGTTGTGAGGGTTGCATCGGCAAGGTCTGGTTCAGCACTGAATCAATTCCAGGCACGTAGTTCAACGAACGAACCCAGCTTGCTCCATGAATCCCTTGGCCCATCTCCCCGGGAGCTGCGTTTCCCCGCGTCGCTTCATTTTTGTATACGGGTGGAAAGTTGAGCTGCTTTCCGGATGAGACGCGATCCAGCCTGGGCTGCTGCCATGTATCCAACGCAAATCCAGTCTGTTGAGGAATCATATGACTGGGCTCCAAAGGCGACACTAGAATATGCTTGCTCGCTGGGGGCTGAATGGTGGTATCTCCGGGGGTCCCATCATATCCAGCCGCCAGCGTCCCGTTCGGTGTCTTCCTCCGTAACGCATGCTCGCCCGCACTATTCGTATGGGTTAACGGGCGCGTAGCGTCTGTAACACTGAGACGTTGAATCGGATGTGGATATTGCAGCCGGGTTCGGGGTAATGATTGAAATGAATTCTTGCTAATGTCCTGGTGGGGAAGGGTAGCGGAGAAGGAGGCGTTAAGGTCGTAAGGTTCATTCAAGCTGTCGGGTCCATGACGATAGTGCAGATGGTGATGCGGTTGGACGGGCGGAAATGGCGCTACTGAGGGTAACATCTTGACCGCGGATGGCGATGGCACCGCTCGTCGTCCCCCGTGGTCGATAAATGTTTCTGCTTGTTAGGCAAGATAAAGAGGGAAGGAAGAGGACAGAGAGACCGGATGCAAGAGATAGGTCGCAGAAAGAAAAAAAGAAACAATAAATCGCTATGTGAAGCGGCGTGAGAGGGGAAGCCTGGGCGGAGAGCGGCTCCGATAGATGGAGAGCAGTCAGTATTGTCGACAATCAATCTCTCGCTGGAGATTTAACAAGCATCCGCCTTGAAGCGTTTCCTACACCTCATCCTGGACATGAGCCGGCTCACTTGACACTTCAGCGAAGCCCCCCACCGCTTGTCTCTGGGCTCGACATGAACGCTGTTGAACGGTATGCTGGTCTGGAGGTCGAACGTACGGCAGCCGGCACCAAGAAAGTAGAGAAGGGGAGATGACTGGATAGAAGCCGAATCTGGGACGAAGATACCATCCACGAAGGCGCAGGATTCCAGAAGATAGAAAAGACACGCAGGCGATCCGCTCGGAAGACGCTATTTGCTGCCGAACAGTCTTGGTGGATGAAGAAGCGATGCAAGGGAGGGAAGGGATTGAAAGTCACAACCCTAGTCAGCCTGGTCGAGCGCCCACACTGACGCAGGTGTCCGCACGGCGCGATCAACCAGCAGTCAATTCTGCACTTGGCAGAAATGTTGTACCCGGATGGAGTCAAGGGTGATGGCGTAGGGAAGGAAAGGAAGGGAAAGGTGCGACAAGGGTAAATGCGCGGAGAGGAGAGAGATGATGAACGAGCGAACCGGTCGGCAGTCGAGTGAGATGAATTGTGGTGGTTGTCGTTAGTTGGTAAGAAAGGTCGGGGTGTTGAAAAAAGGAATAATCAGAATGATAATAACAACAATGATGATAATAGTGAGAATAATAATAATAATAATGAAAGAAATAATAAAAAAAAAGAAGATTAATCAGGGGGGGAAAAAATACTAATCAAGAATAACGAGGGGAGAGAATCAATCAATCAATGAATACGGCAATCGAAATAGAGGATGGAGGAACGAATCACATTAAGAAGGCCGGCAAAATCCGAATCAGGGAAGCGATAGTGTTGTAAAAAGGTTGAACATGGCACCACTAGCTGATGACAATCTTCCGTAGTCAATGCCAATCAACAGGCAACTTCCAGCCTTCACTGATAGTCGAACTGATTAGTACAGTACGGAGCATACAATGAGAAAGGGCACCGGAATCCAGGCACCGCAAGGCTGTGGAAGCGGAGCTGATCCCAACGGCGGGCGGAGAGGAAGACAAGATTTGAGACAGGAGGAGAAAAGTGTAAGAATGAGAGAATTCCGGGTGGAAATTCGAAAGGGAAAAAAAAATGTGTCAGAAATCGCTCCGGAGTCAGCCAGTAGAAAAATGTTCTTTGTACTCGTATTAGAGATTTTTAATATCTGCCTTTCTCTTCGACTAGGACTATTTTGCTTGACCGGGACCACATTCGAAGACGACCGAGCATAAAGGAAGCCTTTGGATCTTGGATGGAGAAGCAGGAGGAGAAGCAGGAGGAGCAGCAGCAGTAGCAGCAGCAGTAGCAAGACGCAAGAAGGATAATAATAATGAAATATGGGATTTAAAGCTCCAGTGGGCGGACCATTGGGTGGGTCTTAGCTGGACTTGGGCCTTAAGTCTGTAATCCACTCTCTGTAGCAGACAAAGAGTCAGTCACCATTCATGACGGAGCGGAGCATCTCAAACGCAAGCCGTGGACGGCGGCAGCCACCAAATGGTTCCAGGTTCCTTTTTTTGAGAGTGGGGGAGAAAAGCGCGAATGGGCCAGTGGGAGTGGAGCCAATGACCACTGGGGCTGGAACCTGGTGGGTTTGAGTAGAGTATTTGAGGCGTCCAGGATGAAGATGAGTCGGTGGTGGCTGAGATGAGACGGTGTTCAAACGTTGCTGCCGAGGGAAGAGATGCAAATATCAGTGTCAGTATATACGGACTGAAGCGGGGACTCACTCAGAATTTGAATTGATTAACCAAGTAAGAGGCGGCAGCAGCAGTATGTAGTATGTAGTAAATTCACTGTGCGTGGTGTAGTGCAGTACGCAGGAGCAATAATAATAGCGAAGGTAAATTCCTCCCGCCTGGATGAGTAATTCAAGTAGATCACTAACTCATAGCTCTGGTTTCCATGGATGGCATCGCTCCTGCCCTCTCTTTCCTCATCCCTCTACCCTCTTCCCCTCCTCTCCTCTCCTCTACTCCACATCCGGTCTCTTTGATACTGAATCACTGATAATTCGCCCTCTCGTCTCTGTCAATTACATGAGTAGATATTGACGGAGTCCGGAGTTTACGGATTGCTGCACCGCCAGCATTTATAGCATCATCCTAATCTCCTATTCCGTTTCTCTTCCTTCCCTTCCTACCGCTTCCGTCCCGAGGCATATTCCGTCACTCAATCACACATACTCCAGAGTACAACCCTCCACCACCCACACGGAGAGCAGAGAGCGGATCGCAACCAAAGAAACACGAACATCAATCCCCTCTCCTCTTCCTCCCCCCACCTTCACTTTTCCCGACCCACCTAGAGTTACGATCCAACGGCCAGGATGGTCTGGCGCTAGCCACTTGGGCGCAGGAGCAATCCAGGTCTGTCCAACGTCAGTGGTCCAGCACTAATCAGCCATGGATGCTAGGAAACCCTCCCGACCTCCCCTCTCTTTCCTCTCTCTTTTTATGGTATCCCCCGGTCCTAGTTGGCGCCCGCAGCGATCAAGCCTTGGGGGACCTGCCTGGCTTTTGGGGACTGCCTGGCAGTTACGATGGTTTGTTTGGTGGGTTGGGTCTCGGAGCGATCTGGCACTTTTGTGGGTGTGGGTTTGGTTGGAGTGGAGTCCCATGTCCATCCTTCTAGCGGCAGCTGCACGCTGGCCTTGGAGAGAGGGTTGACAAGTTTCTTTTTCTCTCGCATGGTATGTAAGTTGAGAGGGGAAAATATAAACAGATGGACCCATAGATTGTTTGCATCTGTATCCATTCGGATTTCGCGATCGTGGGGGATGTTTCCAATAAAGAACGGAAAGTTGGATCTCGAGATCTTTCAAAGATCCCGATGATAGGGGCCGGAAATCCTGCATCATGTAGTCCGTCTGTCCTGTGCTACTCACAACTACTGAGTAGTAAGCTAGGCAGGAAGTGAGAATGATAGAAAACGGAGACTAGCGATCAGTGGTGGCTGCACGAATGCGAGGGCCGGAAAATGTAAGGCCATCGTTTGCTGTTGTTACTCGCATCATTTCTGCAGCCCCAATGCGCGAGGCTGAAAAGCAATACACGCATGCCACCTGTGATCAGGTGAGATAGGCTGATTGGTACCTGACAACTTGGCCTCAATCTCCTTCCGGTCGTTTCATTCATTCGATAGGCTGCTTTTGATTTTTCCCCAACTACCGGCGTGGAGTAGTCGATCCCTTTCGTCTGCCGAAATAAAAACATATATTGAAGCGCTCCAGTCCTGACCACAAACATATAGTATAAACAAGGCAACACAAGCACCTCACACACGTTCAGAGCCCAGCTTTGTTCTGACATAGTTCGTCCCAACACCTCGCTCAGTCCACATCAAATGAAATCAACATCAGCCCTCCGCTCCATCTACCTTGGTTCAAATGAAGCCAGCGTCTGCCCGTTCTGTCCAGTCGCAGTGGCGGAAATCAGCCAGTTTCGCTTCGCATAGCACAACAGGTAGCTATGTACGACGATGGTCTTAGAGAGAAAAAGAGGCCACCTAATCATCATTGATGCCGCTAGTACGTAGGGAAAATACGCACAGTTATGGATTCTTGTTGCCTGTCTGGCATTTATGATTATAATTCTCTTCTCTTCGTTGTTGTTTTTGTTGTCTCGTTTACGGTTGCTGACCCCCCCGCCATCCATTCCCCCCCCCCGCCCCTCCATTCACCCACCTCAATACCATGCGAGAGACTAGTATATCGAACTATCGATAGTATCTCGGCCCAGACCAAGCGGACATGGGGCCGCACGCCAAACCGCATCCAAAAATCATCCATTCCTCGAGTCAACCAGAAAAGAAGAAAAAAAAAAAAAGTAGGACCCTGAGCTCGATCACCGACGCGGCCATGTCACGAGCCGCGGGGGTCTGGAGAGGGTGTTGCGGATCGGCAAACTGAGTTTAACTACGGGCTTAGACTCATCACTTGCCAGGCAGGCAGGCAGGCAGGCAAAGCCGGCGGCGACTACTGTAAACTGGGGAGAGAGGGTGTCAGTCGTCAGGGCTTTCTCGCCTTAAGGATGCACAATTTACGCATGCATTCTGCACCTGTCAGGTCTTTTTATCTTTTTTTTCTTTTTTTTCTTTTCCTGCTTGCTCTCTCAGATAGGTTTTTCCTCGTTGGATCCCTCATGTTGATCTGCGGCCAACTGGTGGAGGATCCTCCCGCTCTCACACACCCAGAAACAAAAATCCTGGTAAGAACCATGATGTGTAGGTAGTCATGAGGGTTCAGATTAGAGGTTGTAAAACAAGACTGGTCAGGGATCTTCATTTGTAGTTGGTTCACATAGCGAACTAACTAACTGGATCATCATGGCTGACTCAGCTTGTGCGTATGGGAGATTTGAAATGCTGCGTCACAGAAAAGAAAAATGACTTGTGAAGCAGCCCCGAACTTGTCATCACAAAACAATGTGCTTAGCATTCTGATGGGCTGTCAACCTGGTGCTGCCACTGGACCAGGAGAGCGGTGCCAGTGTGCACTGTGGTGACTTGAACTAGGGTTGCAAAGGGGCACCTGCATGCGGGCGCGTATCAGGGACCAACTGCCATGGGCCATGGGCCATGGCGCCCCCAGGCGGGTGGAGAGCGTGGGATTCTTCGGTGTTGTCCGGCGCCTTGCGGAATCCTAATGTATTTTTTTTTTCTCTTTTGCTGCTCATGGCGTTTTTCCACATTTGCTATTTCCAGTCTATTCGCCGTGACGCCTGCTTGTGGCTGCCACTTAGTACGGATCTGCCCGCATGCCAGGCGACATTCCAGATTGAAGGGTTGAAGATATTACGCGGCAGGCTATGGAAATACGAGGTTGAAGAATGGAAGAAGTTCATTGCAGGCAAGATTGTAATTGAAATTTGTAGTGAATTTGATAAGAGTATCTGAATTACGTGTTACGAAATGTTGACCGTAATATGGACCACCACATCCACTGTCAGAAGCTGAGCTCCCTTCAAGAATGCAGCGGTGAGTAACGGGTCAGGAGTTTTGATCTCCTCTGCGTAAAATAAGCCTATACCACGTTTGGTAACAAGTCAAATCCAGGCCCGAAGGCGGGAAGAGACGGTAAGGGCCAGAGTGTTGCAGAGGATCCAAAGGATGGATAAAGAAAGTGTTGTTGTCTTGACAGGATCCGGCTCGCACATGGAGGGCAGCAAGTAGACCGTGAAAAGCAATCAGGAGGGTTTTTGGGGAAGGTACCAGGAAGAATCATTGAACGGGATGTCCAGCGAGAAAACACTTATCATTTTTTGCCGAATGCGAAAACAACAGTGGGAATTCTAGTCATGACTCGTAAGGGTATTTTGGTTTTGTTCGTGAGAACAAACGATCATATTAAGTAACTAGCATGTCGATACATCATCGCGACCGCCATGATACATGATTGATCATTTACTCGGAGGGGACTATAAGTTTATTAGTATGCTGCGAGCGATGTCGATGGGGGCTCGGTAGAACGTACCGTCAATCTCGCCAGCCTTGATGTCGTCAGAGACATCCTTGGGGCTGCGGCCATCGACCTGGCAACCGACGGAGAAGGCGGTACCGAGGATCTCAAGGACGGTACCCTTGAGCTCCTTAGCCAGAGAGCGGTTGCGCATCTGGCGGGCAATCTCGACGATCTCATCGAGAGAGACGGACTTGTTGTGCTTGATGTTCTTCTCCTTCTTGCGGTCACGCGGGGGCTCCTTGAGGGCCTTGATGACAAGGGAAGAGGCGGAAGGCACAACGGAGACGGCGGCCTGACGGTTCTGGATGGTGAGTCTGACGGTGACACGCAGACCCTTCTATAAAATCCAAAGAATCGATATTAGCGACTGATCTTCTGATCGCGGGAGCAAGCGTGCGCGCGGTGGTTCCATACCCAATCACCGGTGTTCTTGGCGATATCTTCACCAATCTTCTTGGGAGACAGACCGAGGGGACCGATCTTGGGAGCCAGAGCAGACTGGGCTCCGACCTCACCACCAGTCACTCTCAGGTGACTAATATATTCGTAAGCATTGCGAATGGCGGGGATTGTCGCGAGAAAAAAAATTCGCAGTGCGCAACTTACATGATCTTCACCTCATTGGGGTCGAACTTGGGAGCTGCCCAATGGGTTTAATGTCAGTTCAGTCCGCCATTTTGACACCAAGGAGATGATACTTACGCATGGCGAGTGCGAAAGGTGGTCGATCGTCCTTGGGAGTTGTCGGGGTGGATGGTACAAGGAAAGAAAGGAAGCTGTTATCTGAAAGTGAAGGATATTTAGCTGCCGTCCGCACCTCCACTAAGCGAGCCGCCCGAATCGGCTTGGCGTAATAGGGCTCAGCCCGACAATGTCACGTGATTATGACGAAGAGCCGCGCGTGCCTCGTATGACAGGTGGGAAATGATGCCGTATACTACCTTACTGAGTGACAATCTTACTGGGCTTTGCTTGTGTTCAATGCATCTAATTTAGGCAGCTGATATATTCCAGGGTAACAGACAAAAATAGGAAAAACCGCTAAAGATACAAACGACCCGACGACCAACGTAAACCTTCCCTTGCTCTTGGTATGGCCATTTCTTGTCAGATCTAGCTGGTTCCGGAAACAGCAAGCCTGGTGGATTAGGTTAGAAATGATTGACTGCGAATCAGACATATGTTGCGGACTTACTTCATCAGGTGGTCCATGAAAGTCTGCAACGAGACATCGTCGGTGAAAATCGTTTGCGACGTGACACCCCCGCCATATCCTCCTGTCGTGTGCGTCGTGGAAGGGTTCAGCTTGGACAGCAGGAAACGCGCCTGGGAACCGCCAGCATCGCAGACAATGAAACGAGGCAGGGGAAAACGGTCCGAGATCAGCTCCTGTGATTTGCAAACAGTTAGCAGAGAAGCGGAGAATGTGTAACGATGGATGTTCACGAACCCTTGCATCTTCCTTTGGCTGCTCGAGGAGAGCCTTGAGGTTTTCGTAACCCTCCTGATCCTGGTAGCCGGCCTTTCTCCATTCTGCGATAGTCTCTCCGTGGAAAATTAGGATGTGGAAGAAGGTATCCAGCAGTAGGATGTGGGAAGGCTGGATGGAAGCAGAGTCCAGAAGGACCGGCTGGCTTCCTTCGTGCTCGAGAGAATACGAATCGAGCGTGGGCTGAATCATGACAAGAGAATCGCCGACATCCTCGTGGTTGAGGACGTGTCTATAGAAGGCAGTCTCATCAGGCGAGTTGTTGAACACCTGCAAGAACTGGCTTCGGCGCAAGTGGAACATAAATTGAGGATAGAGAGTGAAGTTCTTCTCCAATCGGAAGGAGGTAGGGTCATCCTTTCGGTAGTCGGCAAAGCGAGAGCAAAGCCGGATAAGCATACGATCAACCCATCTGAGCACATCCGGTCCATCATCAACCTCAGCCTTGAAGACCGCAATTCGCGCCATCAATACAGCAGCGGCCTCCTGGTCGAAAGACTGTGCGAGTGTGGGGTCACCAGCCGGACCACTGAGATTCCGTGCAACGGTCGTAACTCGAAGGTGATAGTGGCCAGACGAATGCTGGTAGTATGTCAGGAATTGCATCATTCCTCTTTGTGGGCCTGGCTGGACTGCTGCCGGACCGCCTTGGTTCGCGATTTCAAAGTAGACGCCGTAACTCGAGGAGGGGTCGATTCCACACATCTTCCAGGCGCAAGTGTTACCAATGCCGCACTCCGTTTCACCAACCGAGCTCGATTTCTTGTTCAAAGAGACCGCGTGTCCAATGAGTCCGGTGACCTTCAGTTCCTTAGTGGTGAGTACTTCCAGGGATGCGTTGAAGCCCATGAGCAGGTTATCGTTGGCGTCCTTGTCGAAGATTCTGACGAATGATTGCTTGAACTGGGAGGATGTGAAGCTATCCGTGAGAAGCATATGGCCACCAGTGTAGTTGGCGAGATTCTTCATCTCCAGCATGCCGACCTGGTCAAGACACCCAGCAAACAGGTCAACAATGTGTCCGTTGTTAGCGGCACGCTTGGCCATGCTGTCGTAGAACTATGTGCATCCGTTAGTATAGTATGAGAGCACTTCATGACCACATCAGAACCTACCTTGACAGCTTTCTTGTAGTACTTGATGTTGTCTCTATCAATATCGTGGTGAGAGCGGATAGGCTCCTTCAGCTCAGGGCCGACGACATGACCCGGGCCCTCAGTGGCCGGACCACTGGTGAAGATCATGATGCGTCCACCCGCGTTTTGGAAAGAGGTCTCGAGCAAACCAACGGCAACGCTAAGCGCAACACCAGTACATCTGAGAGGACGCTTGTCATTCGCAACAGGCCAAGGATCGCGCTGTAGCTGCTCGAGCACATTCGTGATCTGGAATTCCGCCTGCTGAACGGGGAGAAGGAATCGTGCCGCAGGTCCCAGAGGAGGGCGGGCGGGCTGCTGGGGCATGTTCGGCCGCACTCCAGATGCAAGACCAAGCATCTCCTGGACCTGCTTTGCAGCATACTCTTTACTGCCGCGGAACACATAAGACTTGGCACATTCGGTGTAGCCAAGCTCATGTACTTGAGCCTGTATCTCGAATTAACATTCCATTCTACCGTGACCGAATCGAGAGTTGTCCCTACCATGGTGCCGAATGTGATCAGACCGACCAAGGCGTTGGCTGGCAACAGCGACAGACTCATGATCAACGAGTCCTTGACAGCCTTCAGGCTGTCTTCATCCTGGCAGGTATCGACAACATAGACGAAGATAGGAGGGGCGGGAGCAGGGCGTGCCAGTTGATACTCGATCGTCGTGCTCATGGGATGAAGTTCCGGGGGTATTGTGCTCTCGGTGATATCCTTGTAGTGAGGGGGCAGAGGGTTGCGCATGAGACAGAAAGGGCAGATCCAGATGCGGGCACGAACGTCAACATTGCTAGATGATGTCAGTGAGAGCTTTACTTCATTTCGAAAACAACCGTCTAGCGTACGCATAAGGGTTCAAAACGGCCCGACAGGGCGCTTTGCAGGTCACTGGCTCATATTGTAGCAATGGAGAGTCCGGCTTCTCCTTAAGGGGTGTGTAGACAGCACCAATGGGGACAACAAGTCGGGATGCTTCCTATGATGGACTGAGTTAGTGACTGACGTGTATAATTTATCGATACCATAATGCCAACCATGCGAGAGCTTGGAAATGTGTTCCAGCTCAATCTGATGCCGTCGCGATCCTCAACGTCGCTCCATTGGTCCTTCAACGCTTCGTAGTCCATGTTGGCGGCGTGGTAAACGGGGCTCCGTTAATGGGGAAGAGTGAGGGGAGATCTCCTCGAACAATAACAATTCCAGAAGTGGAAATTTTGGGAGCACCACAGGCTGAATATGAAAGAAGATGCTCCTATAGCAAACACCCAGTCTCGAAGCGCGCAACGCCAACAGCTGCTGTCCTGAATGACTATGCGGGGGATCAGGAGACTGTTGTGTGAAGCGGCGGTGCTGGCATAAGGCCAGGTTGCAGCACAACCGGTCTCTGCGGCCCGCCGTACCCCCACGCTAGCGGCCTTTAAATAGCGGCTCTTCTTCCTCCACATCCCAAATTTTTTCTTTTCTTCTTATGAATTTCTTTCTTTTTTCACGCCGACATCATCTTTCTCAGCTTCTAGCCACCTCAATGGTGAAGTTGTTTACGCGTCGAGCGAAGAATAAATCTGACCCGTTGCTGGGCACCTGGCTTTGAAAGGACGTTTTGTTCCTTCTGGATAATTTGGGAATCAGCTGTGGTCAAATCCCTAATTTCGTACAATTTATTTTCTTTCACAAACAATTGAATGTGTGTACTGCAAGGTTGACTTATGCGTGTAATATCTACATTAAATGCGTGCCGAAAAAAAATGTGTCCCGTATCCCAACACAATGAACCAGGTCCGACGCCTTATGGACTAAAAATTTCGCAAGAAAAAGACAAACGCAATAAAAACATATCGTCGTCGACTCCCATGCAAGCTATTTAAGAAGTCTTGGACGCCCGGGCTGTCTGCTTCAACAAGAAACTGCGCTTGAAGTAAGTGTTGGGGTGAACGATGGTGTCCAAATCCACTTGGTTCCATGAACCCTCTTCCTTGACTCTTTTGATCTCGGTCTTGTGAGTCGATTCGAAGACTCTGTTGCAAGCGATATGATACCGCATTTTCTCGACATCTTCTCGCACTCCACGGAGGACTTCCTTGTCATTGACGCCTGTGGTCTGAAGCAATCCAATGAGATTGTCGACCGAGTAATGGCGATAAGGGCATCCATGAGTCTGTCCAACTCCAGGGTTTGAGTCGCCTAAAATCTTCTGGCATGAATAAGGAGGATATCCTCGACCCCGGCGGTTGACATCGCCTCCCACATCACCATAAGCGTGGCGGATATTGTACTTGTATCGAGAGTTGAACTCGTCATCCGTGAAACCCTTGAACGACTGGCGCCAGAAAATGATGCATTCTTCGAGTGACAATCCAATACCCTTGAGGAACAGGGTATATTGGAGACGGCCATAATGCTTGAGATGGTTGTTTTTCCGTAGGTTCATGTGCAGACTGCGCATGCACAGTGGGAAGTGTTGAGATAGCTGGTCGATGTTGTTGGCAGTGATTGCAGCACCGTCAACAAACCCTTCGCCATCCGAATAAACAGACTCGGCGCTTCCAAAGTTCTTTGACAAATGATTCAAAATTGGAGTCAGACGATCATCCTCATCCAACCGCGGTAGTGCCCGACTCGTGAGCTGGAGAATGTTAGTGATGGGCAGGATCCTGACAGGGAGGGCAGTGTTTGTACCTCAAGCGCGCGTTCCAATCGGGCAGTGAACTCCGCAATAATCATGCTCAACTGCTCTCTTCCAGGTACATAGGCCTTGCCTTTGTACAAGAACACAGATCTTCTCTCGACAAGCTCGGGTACTCGCTCCCAGTCCACTTTGTACCATGCCTCTTCATCCACACGTCGTAAGCCTGGGGTGGCACCAATTAAATGCTCTGCCAATCTTTGTCTTTCATCATCCTCCACAGGCTCCCAGTCAAGGTTGAGACTCTCGATGAAAGCGCGCTTTTCCCTCGTGTCATCACGCTGGAAGCGGAATCTGAAGAGCATTGTTTCGGCTCTCACGAAGCGCCGACGAAGGTCTTCTGTGGCGGAGAAGGCCAAACGAAGAATGAAGTGTGAATAATGGTCCTTTTGGCGCTCATTCTTAAGTCGCTGGTCGGCCGCACCGTTGGAGGAGGATGTATTGGATGATAAGGGGAGGTACTTTTGCAGGAGAGGTGTAAGATGCGTCTCTGTCTCCGCCGCGGACTTGTTTCGATAAGAGCAGGCCTCGATTTCAGCCAGTACTGTTGAAAATATGAGTAACGAAAATGGCGTTGGGACTCCTGGGCTATCTGGATATACCTCTCAATCTGTCAATGGCCCATTGCTCGAATTGCTCGAGTGTAATCTCCTCCGTTGGCGGGACGTCGTAGAAATTCAGACGGTGCGGATAGTCTTGCTGCTTGAATGTGGGTGCAGCGAACTGCTTTTTCTTATGGTCGAGGTTGGCCCTTCTCTTAGGGTCAATCCTGAGAAAGTCACTTCGAATCATGATGAGAGCGTAACAGCGATTCTGACACCCGAACAAGTGTACTGCAATTTCCTCAGCGACCGCAAGACAAATTCGATGTTGGATGACCTGGCAAGCTCTGGGCCCCCGCGAAGGACGCGGGAACGCGCCGAAAACGCGACACGGTCACGTGAAGATAAATGGCGGCTCGCTCAGGCCAACACTGCATCGCAGAAAGCAGCATGGCAGAGATTCCCAATCACATGCATGTACGAGAAACAGATGGGAGTGATCTACGTACTTGAGAAAGTTCCGAACATGTGATAATCTGTTCGACTTTCTTCCGATATGAGAATCCGAGGAACGACACTACAGTTCATGCGCACAGACGGACAACATTTACGATACCCCATGCCATGGCTGAAGCCCTGTTAGACGCAAGTGGACTTGACTACTCGCTGGTACAGTATATACTGGATTGAAGATCAATTTCCTTGCGCCGTTTCGTTTCCTTGGCAAAGCGAATATTGCCTGCTGTACCTTGTATCCTGGCAGCTGCTATATTGTCAGCAGATGGCATTGTTGCGGTTTTCGCCCTGCATGCGCACAATAATAGGTTTGACAAGCTCTCACCTGGCCTCACATATATTTCCAATAGGGTCGAATCCTCATTCGATGCCACGAACGCTTCGCACTGCCTGTGCGCTCGGGAAGTCTGTGCTCAGCACAGTCGCCAGCATTACTAGCAAGTTCGGCGGTATAATGACGCCAATAGCGCAATCTCAAGGTTGTCCACTTGGGGTTTGATCAGCCGTGTAAGCTCGTGAGGTCTTGTAGAAGGGTGACGTTGGTCTGAGGGAGAAGACCTATCATTTTACCGTAGGAACCATCAGAACTGGAACATCATACGAACATCATACGCACATCTTATTGAGGTAGTGCTACCAATATCCGTACTATATTTCCAAGCCACAAAAGGGAAACAGAAAGCCCCGGATCGAACTCCGCTCACCGACTTCCTAAAGAGGGAATCATCTACAAATGAGTCAACCCCACGATTTCGCGAGTCTTGCCGACTCGAGTCCAGAATTGAATGTCATTGCATCAGCTGAGCACCAGCCATTCTTGATAAGGGCGTAGGTGCAGAATCAACCGACATCGACCGTCGCTTTCTTCCATCCAAATATCTCCCTTCCAACTACAACTTATGTATCAATAACCACCATCATGGACATCATATAGCGTACCGCCTTCCCGTTATCTGTCCCTGTCTTGAACAAGTTAGACGGCTCAACAATTCTCAACAAGCCGAAGTGCCTCTCAAAAGCCCTTGGGTTAGTTAGCCTTGCATTGCGGGCGCGATAATACCTACCTACCTAGATAGACCTCCTCCTCCCCCCCCCCCCCCAAACAGAAGAACAAACACACAACAATGACGCGCGCTATCCGACCGCTCAGAAAAGCTGCGCGAATCATCCTTATAGGTGCACCTGGCGTCGGAAAAGGAACACAAACAGAGCGACTCCTCACGAGATTCCCCGACCTAGCCTCCATAAGCTCAGGCGATCTCCTCCGGGAAAATGTGCGGAGGAAAACACCCTTAGGTATGCTGATTCCCATTGGCACAATTTCCTGGAACTGTTGCGACAATGGCTAATGCTCTTTTTTCTCTCGTGCGATAGGTCTCAAAGCCGAGGCCGCAATGCAGTCCGGTAACCTTGTCCCCGATTCGATGATCCTCGAGCTTATATCGTCGGAACTCGAGTCCAAAGGCTGGCTTCCTCCACCCACAGCCACAGCCACATCAACGACAGCAGCAGCAGCCGCCGCACCTAATTCCACGTCGGTCTCTGCCAATGCCTCCTTCATCCTCGACGGATTTCCTCGCACCGCGACGCAGGCGTCAAGCCTCGACAACCTCGTGCCCGTGAACTTCGTCGTCCACCTCGTCACACCTCCATCCGTCATTCTCTCCCGCATAGGGTCGCGCTGGGTCCACGAACCGTCCGGAAGAGTCTACAATGCCGATTTCAACGCGCCCAAGGTTCCCGGCAAGGATGATATCACCGGCGAGCCGTTGACCCAGAGACAGGACGACTCGATCGATACGTGGAAGCAGCGGCTGCACAAGTTCGAGGAAACGAGCAAGGCTCTGCTAGAGCACTACCAGCGCAAGGGCTGCCTCTGGCGCGTTGAGGGCGACTCGAGCGATGAAATCAGTCCCAAGCTTTTCGCAGAGATTGAACGACACTTCTGTTAAGTGTCTTGTGTGCTCTCCCTGGCTGCCTATGTCGGACATGTTTTTTTGTAACATACATATCCATTTCTCTTTGTTCGGGGGTTTTTTCTCTTTTCAGCTTTTTGCATTACTGCGGTCCTTGATGGATTGCAGGCATGAGCATGCCTTTCTATATGTTCTACCCTCTTTGCGGCTAGATAATGTCTTATTTAAGACAGCTTGCATCACTTGTGTGGCCAAGATGACTTATGTGTGAGGTCTTAACGGAGGTTACGATATGCCAATGCCAATGCCCACCCAGATCAGGGCGTCCTCATGGAATGTCTTCGTCAACGAACACCAATATTCATGGATGAACTCGATGTGCAAGCTTAAGATATCGCCGGGATATATGAAAATGAGCCGTATCGTCATAGGCGCGTAGACTTATAATCTGCCTCGAAACAAGGGAATGGGGGCACGCGATAATTAACTCATCCTTCCCTGGCAAACATTTCCCCCCTCGCAGCTGTTTCTAAGTCTTCTTCGTCTCCTTCTTCACCTGTATCGGGTTCTCCAGCCCCATCCGTGTCTTATAATCCCGGGGGCTCTCCCACGCCTTATTGCGGCGGAACCCCTTCCACATCCCCAACCCGCGGAGCTTGGCCCACCGCTCCGCCTGCCGGTACTTTCGCTCAGTCGCGGTGCCGCCGAATTCCGCGCCGGACTTGGCCTCGTAGACGGTCGCGAGCCCCTTCCGCAGCATCTCGTACGAGACATCGCGCCGCCGGAAGGGGATGGGGAAGTCGAGCGCCCGTCGCACCACCACCGTCGCGACCACGCGCTGGTACTGATCGTGGCGGTGGACGTACGCGCGCACCCGCCGAGTGCTCAGGTAGGCCGTGAGCCACTCGTGGGCTTCCTTGCTGAACGGCTGCGCGGGCCGACCGAAGTGCGCGAGTTCGGGGGCGTCGATGCCGGCCAGACGGATGTGAATCTTTTGATAGGTACCGAAAATAAGAGTTAGTTCGGTGGCCAGAAACAAACAAGCACGGAGGGAAGGGGCCAGGAAATCGGTGGAATATTGAGTGTAGCTCTCGCCCCGGCCATTATTCCCCTCTCCCCCCTCTCCCCCCCCCCCCCCCCTCGCGAAGTAGGAATTCACCCGCAAGGTAACAAAACATACCGTCTTATCCCTCAACTCCTTCTTCGACGTCGGAACCTTCTTCCACGGCAACCACCCCCACCCGGCCAACCGGCCCCCGGGCGTATGATACAGCCGGAAGTTATCCCCATCGCCGACGCTCGTCACCCGGCCCAGAATACTCCTGCGCCGCATGTACGAGGGTAGGATGCTGCTCGCGTCCGGGAACCAGCGCAGGTAGCGCCCGTGGAGGCCCACGGCGCCGAGGATGCCGCTTGTCAGGATCCCCGTGGCGATCAGGGTTCGGGGCTCGGCGAAGGCGCGCCAGTCGATGATGTTGGCGTAGAAGTGCCGGTCATTGTTGTTGTCGTCGGTGGTGGGAGACTTGGGAGCCCATGGCGGCCATCTCATCACGGCTCATAGTCCTCCCCCGCTTGGTGTGAGGCTTTCGCTGGGTTTGGTGGGGGGGCCCTTTTTCTCTGGGAACGGAGAGGGGAGGGGTTTGGGAGACGAGGGCGGAGTTGGTTTGGGTTAGGGGGGTTTGGTGCCGGTTTGCTGAGTGTTGATTAGCGGTGAGAGGAGGTTGAGTTGAGTTCAGGTGTTTTGGTTTTCGGCAGTTGGGTAGTTGCCGAGGTGAACTGCGGCCCTGCGGATATATGTCTAGACTATAATTTAGTAGTTATCCGTTCTCTTGGGTTGAAGGGTGCTCTCGAGATTGTGGAAATTCTACAGATTTCATATTTCGTTGGTTCTGGGTTGACTCTGGTGTCTACCAAAATTTATAATTGAATCTTTGCATATTGTAATGGTTCTATGGAGATACCAGCATATACATTATGATCAATGTTGCACAATGCCAGCTATTTGATAATAGTGGGCGTGCTCGGTATTTGAATTGTCAAAGCATGAATGTAACCAAGTTCAAGGTCGTCAAATCGATGGTCAATAGAATGTAGTGAAGTCTAGGGACATGTCCGTTATAGGGTGAAAATAGTAAGGAGCATATATGTGGATCTGAGGTAGTAAGAAGAAGTGATAGAAATCATTTCAAGGTAACTGGCAGACTGGTCTTGGCTGTCGATGTTGCGGAATCCACTACCTTCTTGAGCTTCTGCGCCCGGAGTTTGCGTAGATAGGCGAACAGAAGGACGAATATGAGTTCAACACTAAAAATGATCAGTTGCTGCTAATGAGCATATTGGAGACGAGCTCACCGTTCTTTCGTCATCATCAATAGACCCTGCACGAGGAGGCCCTTAGTGATCTGAGGTCCGATGCCCTTGAAGAGAGACAGCGCTCCTTCGTTTTTGATAATGTACCGCATGACCTCGCTGAAGGTCTTGAAGGGTTTGCCTTCACGGCCGGGGGGCGGCCGCGACTGAAGGCCGACCTTGGCCACGATCAAGGGCTGCGTCGCAAGCGTGGCCAAAGACTTAGAAAGGGCACCAAGGACTGAGAGGAAGAGAGACAATCAGCATGAGTGAACATCAAATTGAAAGATACGTGAGCTACTCACGAAATGCTTCCCAAGGCTTTAGGCTGGACTTTCCAGGAAAAAGGACATCCTTCAACCGCTGATATGCCCCGTATGTGATCGCGGGATTGACAACGAGGATCAGACTAGCCTTGAGTCCCCGCCACAAACCAGTCCAGCCGTCCTCACTGTCCACGATCTCTCTACCCGTCTCGATGAGGCCTCTGCGCTCGCTCTTGTCTTGCGTCTGTTGCCTTGTAGTAATGACAGATACCGGGATAGTGAAGATCTGAGCGACAGCGCCGGCGACAGCGCCCAGCGAGAGCTCAATTGCAGTACCAGGAGGCTTGGGTACCTTGTTGGATGCCATGTAGAGCGATCGTACAATGGTGTACCAGTAGAAATAGGCGAAGTTGGTGGATGCAACACCGATCAAAGCCCCCGTGATACCGGAATATAGACCTTCGACACCCTCCTTCTCCACGATCTTGTTGATGGCATCCAGAGTCGATTTGTAGTGTACCGTCTCATCGGAGCTTTCTTTCTTCGTCTCGTCCGCTTGTTTCACTTGCACTTGAAGTTTGGTTTTCACACTAGGAGTAGAGTAACATAGCCAATTAGCTCAAATCCACCGCGTTACGTAGTATGCCAGAGAAATACGGAGGATCAATTGCTCACAGATCAAGAGGGTAGACCATTGCGTTTGCAAGCACGGCACCCGTAGCGCCTGCAACGGCGCTGCCCCACGGCGAGAGCGCGGGTTTTGATTGACCGGCCATTTTGTGTTGAGGAGATGAGGCAATGTGCCGTTATTTTTGATAGGAGAGGAGATTGATGGTGAGGACAATATCAGTCACTGTGAATATCGTCCAGCGCAAGACCGATATCGCCTAATATTAAGTAAGAGTCGAATGCTAATTTCCCTCACCTGGAGGTCCAGCGGTGCGGAATAACTGGGGCCTTGATCGTGAGCGGGGGGGGGAGACGGGAGAGTCAACGTAGCGCGCCAGAACCACGATAGAACTTGTTAAATGTTACAGCGGTGGATAATAAGGGTCAGAGATCAGACTTGTCTAGCGAGAAGAAAAGAAGAATAAGTGAGGAGCCCCAAAGCGCATGGAAGAAAGAGAAAATGAGACATGACCAAAAAGAAGTCCAGAAATCCAGAAAAGTAGAGTGATCTGCTGCAAAGAACCAGCCGGGGGTTTCCCATCGCACCTCGGCGTGGTTGATCGTCGGTGCTCGCATGACGAAACGAGCCGAGGTCCGTTACTCTTATCGGTCTGGGGCGTGGACTTCTCCAGGCTCCATTCCCGTCCCTCTTCTCCGATCCATGATCCAAACAAGAGTCAACTTTTAAGGTTCTTTCACCTGGTAGACCTGTATGTCATACTGCACGGAGAATGAATATATCTTGTTATAGACTGGTCACCATTGATCTGGCCCCTAGGCAAGGATTCTGTACAGTGTACTCTGTACACCATGCATCCTCTCAACCTGTCTGACTCGAGGCTGGCTTTATCATTACCTAATTAGGCGGCTCTAGACGGAAGTCCCATAGTTTTTCTACTTGTCATTGAACCGGTCAACAAAAAGGGAGCTTGGGCTCGAAGCCTGAATCCTGGTATTCACAGTTGTATATCATTGCACATCACGGCTTTCTGTCCAAGCAAACAAGAAAGCTTTCTTTCACATTCGGTGCATGTAACTCTTACTATGAAGACCAGGAGTATGTGAATGCCTTATTCTCCAGCATATGGCGGTATAGCACGGCAGAATAGCAGCAAGGGAAGATGAGCCGCTACCTGAGAGGGCAGGAAGCGGGTCCCGCACTGAGCGTGATACCGGTGTCTAACTTAAGTTACCATTCATCTTCGTTAGTGAGACTAAGTTGTCTGAACTGACTCAACTGCAAACACCCTTCCTTATCAATCTTATCACTATTTGCCCTATTGCATGCACCTTGCTCGGAATGCTCCGCGGCGCGTTCACTGCTCAGCTTCTCATCGCTGCTGGATGATACTCGTTGTGTTATTAGACATTCTAGAATCTAGCTCTCACACACACCAGCATGTCTCGAGCTGCTGCTGCTTCACAGAACTTGCAAATTAGCCAAGCCTTGGTCAGAAGTCCCGGTCCCTAAGCTCATCTGCAATTCAAATTAAGAGCATCTTGGATTGACGATGATACAGACAGCCGAGGAAGATGTACTTGCCGCTACATCTCAAGCCGAGGCTCTTGAAGCAGCTATCAACGCCGCCGAGCACTACATGAAAGCCTTAAGCTTGTCGTCAACCTCAAAGGACAAAAAAGCTCTAGACGCTAAGTGCAAAGATTGGCTTCTCCGGGCCGAAAGAATCAAGGTAGCGAAAGATTGGCGCCTTGCGATTCGTGACCATGGCAGCAATGACCCAGTGACTCGTTACCCTAGATCGGTGCGCAAACTCACAACTCGGGAGGAAATCATTCTTCTCGAGAGTGCGAAATTGAACCATGCGATCTTTCCACCATGGTCAAGTGCTCCAGGATTTGATGAGTTTGAACGTCAACTTGGGGAGGACCTCTTTACGTATGTGGAGTAATTATGCACTTCAGCACAAGAATCAATCTGACCTGGACCAGAGACTCGCCCGAACTCCATCTCTCAAACCAACAGAGGGATGTTTTTGCGGGCTGGAAACGACCAAAGGAGCTGCTTTTGCAAAAGCACGCAGGAGAAACAGATATTCCCACTCTCCCGGCGATGGCCGTAACAGAGAAGACTGATTTAGTGCAGGACATGGTAACAGATTGCTCTGTCGTTGCTAGTCTGTGCGCTATTACATCTAGGTACGAGCGTGGAATAGATAAGGTAAGCCAAGTCACTACGGAATCGTGACATCTTGAAGCGAACCTGACAGTTGCAGCTCCATTACCCAGTGGTATATCCCTGCGATCTTCGTTACACAGATCCCAAGCTTTCACCTTCGGGGAAATACATCTTCTGTTTTTATTTCAACGGGTGTTTTCGCAAGGTGGTCATAGATGATCGCCTACCATCGTCGAAAAAATCACGGTCACTTCATGTGGTCGACCGAAGCAATCCTTGCTATATATGGCCTGCCTTGGTGGAGAAAGCGTACCTGAAGCTTCGCGGGGGATATGACTTTCCTGGAAGTAACTCTGGAACAGACTTGTGGGTGCTGACAGGATGGATCCCTGAGCAAGTCTTCCTTCACCATGAAGACGTCACTGGCGAACAGATCTGGAGGCGGCTCTATAAAGCATTTCAAGCCGGTGATGTTCTACTGACAATAGGTACTGGAAGATTGACAGAAAGGGAGCAGGAGGAACTTGGCTTAGTGAGTGAGCATGACTATGCCATTCTGGATATGAAGGAGACCAAAAGCCGCCGTCAAATGCTCGTGAAGAATCCATGGGCTGGCGATTATGACCATGACAGCAACTTCGAACTCAGCTCTGGCTACGAAGATACGTCTCATGTCTCACCTGGAACCTTTTGGATGGACTGTGAGGATGTTCTTCAGAATTTTGAAAATCTATATCTGAATTGGAATCCCTCCCTGTTCAGATGCCGACAAGATCTTCACTTTACATGGGACCTCACAACTGATAGAGGACTGGCTGGTTGTTTCGCCAAGAACCCTCAGTTTTCTGTGTCCAGCAATGCTGGCGGTACCGTCTGGTTACTGCTTGGAAAGCATTTTCGGACAGTCGACCATCACGACGAATCTGGGCCATCTGCCCATTGCGACGAGCCCGGATTCATCAGCCTCTATGTGTTTGATGCAGGTGGTCAGCGAGTTTCCTTGAGTGACGGGGCACTTCATCGTGGCCCCTATGTTGATTCGCCGAACACTCTAATGAGGTTAGACATGCCTTCATACACGACCTACACCGTGGTAGTATCCGAGCAATCTTTACCATCCGCAAAGCAACATTTCACACTATCTGCACTGTCCTCTAGTCCAGTGGGTATCGCGCATGCGCAGAATAAATACAAATTCACAACAAAGGTCCATGGCTCCTGGACCCCGTCGACTGCAGGAGGGAATGCAGAGTCAGCCCGATATCCATTCAATCCCCAATTTAGCTTTAAAATCAGCAGTGCAACCGATATTTCGCTCCTCCTCGAGCCAGAGGAGTCCGACTTAGCAACGCATGTTAAATTGTTCTGGTCCAACGGTCAGCGTATCTCCCGAGTTCGAAGCCGCGACATTGCTGCCGACAGTGGGGACTACCGTCGCGGCGGCTCGCTTGCAGAGAAATTGGGGCTTAGTGAAGGAGTCTACACAATCGTCTGCTCGACTTTCGCGCCCGATCAATTGGGAAGCTTCAACCTCTGGGTTTCTTCCTCCGGTCCATGTGAAGTAAAGCCACTGGCGCCAGAAGCCGCTGGGCGACGCGCAGTGATATCAGACATTGGAGTCCTGTCCCCTGGGAAAGACCGGATGCTGGCGCCGCTGGAGACCCCACGGCTGACGCGCCTTAAGATAATTGGAAGAAGCAGACAGTCCACGATTGCGAACCGACCCGTTGGGCCTTCGCCCATGCTGATGACAGTCGAACTTGGCCAAGGACCTTACAAAGAGATACTAGCAACATCTGAAGACGGAAACCACAGTGATGCCATTTCGGGTGTGCGCATCGAGGATTTCAATCTGCACCCTAATCTTGAGGACCGTGGCGGAGCGTGGATTGTCATCGAGCGGATTGGAGGACCTGGAGGACAGGTTGAAGACCACTTTGAGGTGGAAATTCTAGGTGAAGAGAAGCTGTACGTTGGAGAATGGATAGTTGAGGATGCATGATTAATCTAGCTAAATCAACAGACGGCTGTCTTGTTGGCTCGAAAGCATAGCGCAGGCCATTACACTGTACTTTAAGAGCATTCTGCATGCTAATTCTCCCGTCAAGTAAAAAAATCAGAAACAACTTGAGACTTGAATGATTAGAAAGTGACGCCCAGGGAGAAATTAATATCGAGGTGGATGATATATGATTCCGCTTGTGGTAGGCCGCCAAGCAGCAAAGCAGGAGACCGCAGCTGTGCCGAGGCGGTTAGTCTATCTAACGTTCGGTGCAGTTCCCGCTCTGGAACGTCATCCCCGCCTGCATCACGTTATCTTTCACCCCTCCAAACAACAAACAACGTCAGTGCCCCAAGATCAACTTTCCCATACCGACCTAATGGCCAGCAATATCCCCGCGAGCCTGAAATCCGCGGATATTGGCCGATTTGCCCTCAGGGCAGCTCAGCTTGAACGCGCAAAGCCCGTTGTGGCCTACTGGTGTAAGTGTCATTTGTGCGCCTAAAGTCAGTGCTGCCTGAATGTGATCTGAAGCTAATCATGGGTTCTTTTCCACTTCTTAGGCAACTTTTGGATTGTGAATCAAATCATTGAGAGAGGACTGCACACCTCTGATGATGAGGTTAAGCTGTATACGACGGAGCTGGTGGACAAGCTGGAGGAGGTAAGTCAGGCGCAATTGCTAGCCTAACCCCTTGTGTGCAGTATCTGGATGCTGACATTGCCCTTACTCTCGCCTCAAAGTTCAAGAACGAAAACCCCGACAATGACGCTGTGACGGATGCTGTCGCAGCTAATGCATATGTAGAGCAATTTGCTCTGGAGGTCCTTGGGCGTGCGGAGGCGACGATGAAGGCCAATAAAGTGACGAAGTTCGTTCCGCCCTACGCAACAAGTTCAGATAGGATGACAGCTAACCGTAGCTATAGACAAACAGCAGATACATTTCAGGCGGCTGCCACTTTTCTAGAATTATGCCAGATCTGGAACCCTCCGGATGCCGAAATCGCTGCGAAGATCAAGTTCGCCAAGTATCACGCTGTCAGAATCATCAAAGCAATCAAAGCTGGAGAAGATCCGAATGCGTCAAACCCCGTCGCTGCTGAGGAGGAGGAAGACGCAGTGGCCGACCTAGAGCCTAGACCAGATGATCCGGAAGTGCAGGCCATTGTCGGATCCCTGCCTATCCAGCCGAGGCAGCCGTCCGTAGAGGACGTCCAGGATGACTCTGAAGACGCGTCGCAAGCACCGCTTGTCTTACCAGATACACCAAACACAACGAGAGACAGTGCCTCTGTCTACCAGCGGACTGGATCACCTTCCGGAGTCAAAGTGGAGGACGATACAGAACAAGGACTGGAGCTACCCTCTGCACCAGAGACATTTGCATCTTCATCGGGCCCCGTACCTGATCTCCCGGACACCCCTGGGAAAATAGACGGGAATCGTGCTCCTGCGCCTTCCGACTCATTCCATTCCTTCCCTCCACCATCCAACATGGGACCCGCAACTCCATCCGTGCCCTCTCATGACGCCAGCTACTTTTACAGCAAATCGTCACCTAGTACCGCAGTGCCTCCACCTTTCGTGCAATCTACATCAGGCACGGTCCCTGTAGTTACCCGCCCAGCGCACCAGAATTTCCCGACCCCCACGCCTCCAGCGCCAGCACCTGTTGCTTCACATTCTGGTCCAACGAATGCGCAGTCAGTTGACGATCAAGCTATTGCGCTTGCACAGAAGCACGCTCGCTGGGCGGTATCGGCACTGACATTTGATGATGTCAATACGGCTATCAAAGAACTCAGGAACTCACTGCGCTACTTAGGAGCGGAATGAGGACACCTTCCATGTATACCTAGCTCAGCAAACGTTGTTTGTCTTTAGAGATACCTTTTCCCCAATCCTGTTGTTAATTCGTGTCAGCAATTGTTTCATGTCGTGACACCCCATCTTTAAATGAATTGATGACTTCCAATTTCTTCAGTTCTGTTTGTCACTCTTGCGAACTCTAAGTCCCTGAAGATATAGCGACATCTATCTTTCCCTTTTGTTTCAACTAGCCGGCGATGGAGTAAGGAAGCATCGTCATGTTCATTCCAGATCAAGACTGACTTGCAAAACACAAGCTTCGTCACAAGTGCAGACGGAATATTTTCCAAACCATCGCCGCGGCGATGACAAGAAACACGAATTTCTGACCGTCCTTCACTGCAATCATCACCAAGCTCCCCTCTCTGAAATTTCTACTTGTTCACACCAAGCAACACAGAACACCCACTCCCCATTTTCCTCAAACCTTCAACGCACCTGCTACCGGACCTGTTTCATAAGGCTAGCTGACAAGAAAGCCTTTAACTCCAAACCAACCTTCGTCCTTCACTGATGTATCTTGACTGAATCAAGAAGCTTATCTCATCATGGCACGACGGCCAATCACGTCCAGCACGTCTTCGGACGTGACCTATAACGTGATGAAGGCTGGACTTGATCAAGGCGCGCTGAAACCAGGAAATATAGACCGGGATTTTACCAAATTTCTCGACCTGAAATCAGCGCATCAACGCAAGTTTCTTGAGAGTCTTCGAGACCACGTCCACTTTCGCGGCTTCGAATGGGGCGAGTTACTGAACTCGGAGGCTACCCGACGAACCTGCGCTGAGATTTTTGTGGACAGCGTCGGAAGAACGTACTGGGGTACTGAAGAGAACCGTCGTAAGTACTTGATGGAAGACTCATTCAATGATCCGAACGCTCTTTGCGTATATCCCGATAGAAGGGAGGAGTAAGTTGCCACCCTTCCCCGTGGCATTCACTGTCACTTATGTCCCACATCCATAGCCATCTAATCGAGCTAACACTTACAGGATCATCCGAACTATCATGATTCTCATCGAACGCAAGGCCAAAAGTGCTCTGAAACCACGCACTGACAAGGAACCTTCAAAAGTGAGACCTTCCCTCTCATCGAATGTATGTACCTGCCAAAGCTTCTTTTCAATAATCCTAGATGTATGCTAACGTTGACCGCGTCACTAGGATAACACCGGATTCACGCCCCTCGATACCAGTACAAACATGGCATCACATATGACCTCTTCTAGCAAGCGTGTGATGACGCCAGCGCCGCATGTCGCCGTGCAAGTCGAACGCAAGCCCAAACGCAAGTCTAAGAGTTCTTCGGACGAAGAATACAGAGAAACAGACTCCGCCGTTGATGACACGGATGACGTTCAAGAGTACACACCTTCCATGGCCCGTCAAGTGAGACGTTCCTCAACCACGCGGATTCGCCCTTTCAAGTCGATCATGACTTCCCAAGAATGCGATATTGACTCCGATAGCGATCCGATGATGGTGGACTGGCAGACCAAGTGGAGTAACCCTGCGAAGACGAAGCAGGAGCGCTTTCGTCCCGTCAAGATAGAGCCTACCCCCCCTGCCAACAGCTTCGACATCGAGAAGCCGGACTACTCTCCGATCAAGATGGAGCCACCAGCAAGCCGCAAGAAGAGAAAGTCAAAGAGCAAAAAGCACTCGCTCATCAGACAGGAGTCACCGGAAGTGATGATGAACCTGGACGAACCTGTTGCTGACGACACCTTCACCATCACCACTGTTACTCCAGGCGTCAAAGCCAACCCGGACGATCCAGATGATCCCGTCTATTTCCTCGTTACCGCGACCTCCCAACCGGGCATGGGCTCGGTCTGGGTCCCCTACCGCGACTTCCGCTCGGCGGAGGAGTTCATGCGCTGCCTGCGACAGGAATGCCGTCTTGACAACTGGAGCCCGTCCCGCCAGCTGAGCCACGACGTGAGCGGCCACTCCCCGACCACCATGAAGCCCGTTGTGGTGGCCGCCTCGGTGAAGTTCGACTGGACTGACTTCGAGATCCGCGTCCGCCAGCACCACGACCAGGACTGGGCGATGGTGCAGCAGGAGCTGCAGAAGGCCATGGAGGGTCGGACCCAGCTTCTGGAATCTGGATCGCTGACGTCGGCTTTCAAGATCCGGGTACTGCTGCACGTTGTGGAGGAGGATATGCTGCTCGCGGACCCCAGGGACCACTGATTCGGATTTTGGGCTTTCCAAGGCAAACAGCTCATGTAATATGTTTGGTCTGACAAGTCATTTACGTACGGTGGTGCACTGCTACGTTATCCTGTTAGCTCAGTACAGTACCTACTTGACCGCCACCCCCCTCCCTTTCCCCCCTGCTGCTCCATGGTGATTTCTTTTGGGAATGGTTGCTGGTGGGCTGTAGAATATTGTTTTTGTTTTTGTTTTTTTCGTTTGGAGGAATACTTGGCTTTCCCCCGGGAAGGTTGCATAGAAATTGTGAAGAAGCAATTGGTTATCACCTCCGAACATCTTGCAAGTCATTCATTTTGTCGGACATAAGAGCCAGAGGATACTGATTCTAGATACTAAGAATTAGCCGAGCTACTCCGTAGTCCGTACTCAGTGTATCTAGATTGCCACGTCCTGAGGGGAGCCGAACAGAATCGAACCTAATTGAATTTTCGCACGAGCCTTCGTATCGCAGAAGTGATGCGCCTTACTTTACCGTATCTAGTAGTAGTCTAAATTGTCTAAGCCTCTAAGAAGTCTAAAAAGGTTGCTTGCAAAAGACAAAAAATGGCCGGGGGGGCTCCGGAGGGGGGGCTTTTGTTGAAGCCCCTGCACAAACCATGGGCTGACGATCACCCACGGTCCTTGGGACTGGGACTGAAAGTCAAAATTGATGCGCCATTCAGTCTCATTCCCTCCTAACGTGGGACCCCCCGGGAAAAAGGAAGTTTGTTTGGGGAGTTTTGACACCGAGGTTTAATTTATCTTTGTTTCCTCTGAAGGGAGGGGAGAATCCCGAACAATTGCCGAGATTTTGTGATACTCATAGACACTATTACCCCATAGTCTTCTTTTCTCCAGCACACTGAGACTAGGAGGATTTTGGAGCCTCGATTCGCCCAATGGCTCGGAATTCAATTCCAAAATATACATATAGATACGTATCCCATTCCCAGTGTTGGTTAATCGTGTTGGTTAATCGTGTTGTCCAAGCGGTCTGATCCCGTGCTACTGGGTTGATGGGCCCCGTTCCGGCCAGTCTAAATGCCCGAATGAAGTGTGGGTTGATTAGTGAAGAAAATGAGAAACGGAGTCACTACTTCATGGAGTACTAGTATGGATGAATAGGAGGAGATGAGGGGGGGGGAAGGTCGGGTGGAAGTGAAGCATCACCGAAGTTGATATCAATAGTGATGGTTCCAAAGTTGCCGCCGCGGATAAGCGTTCAATAGTACAGTACCTGAATTGCTTTTTTGCGCCCCTTTTCGTCCTTTTGTTCTCTTCGATCCGTTGCTTGTGGCTCTGTTTGCAAGGACGTGGGCTCGTTGAGGTTTGTTTGTCTACCTCGTCTATCCGATTGGATCAGTATTGACGTGTGTAGATAGGAATGCGAATCAGAGGAGAGGGGAAACGTCCAGGGAAGATCTAGGCTGAGTCGCAGACGCGACCGAAGCGAATTGCCGACGCCCTATGCAGTATGCAGGCACTTCTCCGGCGTCAGACTTGCGATATCGCAAATTAATAATCCAGGAGGAATCACGAGCAATTAGTGGTTACCCACCAGCAAGCAGCCTTGACTCGTAGCATCATTTTATGAGACGCAGATCATCGATGCTATTGTTCCCTACGGTTGATCATCTCAGTCTCTCCCAATTTCACAATTGGCGGTTTGCGCGCCCATCGCCGCCTTTTCTTGTTTACCCTGCGTTAAGCATTTAATCTGGGATGCTTGGGTCATCTTGTCTTTTTCTTCCTCTGAGACTTTCCTTTTGAGGGGAGGAATTTGAGCGTGTTGTGGTGGCAAAGCGGGATTGACAATTCAACATCATCATCTTCATGTTTGCTTTGACAACCGATTTTCTTTTCTTTTTCATTTCCTTTTATTTTGCAACGGATACGTACTCGACATCCCACCCCTTCCCTTTCAGGGAATGGGGAGGCAATAAATGGGTTCAGAACCCACTTAGAGGCGGGACTATGATCGGACGGTGTCCCTGACGAACGGACAACGTCCCACAACGCGTGCTTGGCAGGGGACGGATTGATGAATCCATTTGCCTTTCCTTGGTTTGGGGACCTCTCCGAAATGCTCGAGGGACGCTTAAAATTCGCCCACTTTCCTGTACGAGGGCAAAGGAGCGAGTGGGAAGCCCTCGCCGGGGGCGTGTGGTATCCACTGCGCCGGCGAAATTTCTAGACGCAGCGCTAGCGGCGTTCATTCGGTAAAAGAAGCGGTTTGGAATGATGATGTGCTCCCCCTCTTGTTCCATGCGAATCTGCAGTTTGTTATTGGTGGCAGCGACGGCGGCGGCGGCGGAGCCGCTGCTGCTGGTGGTGGTGGTTTGCAGACCTGCAGTACAGTACCTAGAGAAAGGCCTAGGTAGGAAGATAATCTTGCTTGGTAGCACCAAGTTTTTGTTGGGAGGAACAGCCAATACAATAGAGGAGTAGAATGGTTGTTTCCAGTCGCATCACCGGGCCACATCATTCGCATGGATGGAAGTTACACCAGAGGGAGATGGAGAACAGTCTGGAGAAAACAGGCATCGTGATCAGCATTGGAGTGACATGATGCCTCTCTGTCTCTCTATCTCTCACAGGCTGTGCGCGACATAGGGTGAAGGTTTGGGAAGGGGGTTGGTTTGGAATTATGTTGTCTGCCGCATTCTCCAGTATGGTGGTCCGTTCGTATGTCTCAGCTTGGGGACATTGGTGAGGAACTGAGGATGGGGTGGGTGTATACAGATAGAATCCCTGGTGAGGCAAAGCTCCGCATAGTCGGCGGACTGAGTCTACTAGTTAGTAAGTGGCTCAATTAGTCACCAAGACTTTGTTGATGCGCAAAACGATGAGTATACATGATGATCACATCAGAAACCACGAGAGTACTCCGATGTTGAGATAAAATCAAAAGTAAATCTGAAAGCGTTGGTTAATTGATGGAGGGATGGATGGATGACTTGGGAAGGGAGAAGCACCAAGAACAAACAGGCAGGTCGTTAGTCCATCATGATTATTATTATCAACAGGATTAATATTATTCTCATAGTTCGTTGGTCCCTCCCAAAAGAGAAGATGGATGAGTGGATGGATGGATGGATGGATGGATGGATGGATGGCTGCTTTCTCTTCTCCCCTCCCCGTCCGCCTTCTCTTTCTCTCCTCTCCTCTCCTCTCCTCTCCTCTTCCTCCCTCCTTCATCTTTCTCCTCTTCGATCTCCTCCTTTTCTTCCTTCTCTCTTCCCCTCCTTCCCTCCTCACTCTCTCATCCTCCAATTACTGGCATTAATTTCCTTCTTTATCATATATTGAACTATTAACCTCTGCTGCATCTTCCGTGACAGCATTCCTCCCCCCCCTCCTCCTCCTTCAGCTTTTTCCCTCCCTGCGTCTCTTCCGCCCCCTTTTCCTCCCCGCATTCTTCCATTGACTGGTACGCGCTCGGGTGCGGGGTGTGCCTGTCAACAAACTGCCACTTAACACGAGCTAGTTCACTATCTGAACAAAGCTGAAGCTTCTCTTCTGTCTCAACTCCTATCACTAAGCTCGCTTCTTGTCACATTCCTCGTCATGGCGGATGATCAGGCAAAAAAGCCCGCCGTTCTGATCGTGGGTGGTCTTGGTATGCATGCCTCATGATGGTTCCTCTTGATCGTGCAGAAATCAGCTGGGTGTTGTACAATCCGACTTACATGCCATTGCATTTGTAGGGTTCATTGGTCGCCATCTTGCCCTGCATATCCACGAAAACAACCTGGCCTCGGAAGTCCGACTGGTCGACAAAGTCCTCCCTCAGCTTGCCTGGTTGGCCCCTGAGTTTCAAGAAGCTTGCTCGAAAGACAAGTTTGTCCAAGCTGATGCCAGTCGAGAACGTGAGTTGACAAACTCGATCCGACTTGCTTTTGCGCGCATGTCATAGCCTACTGACACTCCGCGTATTTGCTAGAGCACTTTCCCCGGATCTTTGACCGTGCCAACGGCGAACAGTTCGACTATGTGATAAACTGTGGTGGAGAAACCCGACACTCGCAGCCTGATGATGTTTACGAGGTCCGCAGCTATGCCCTCACCGTTGCCCTCGGTCGCGAAGTCGCCCGTCGAGGCATCCGCTCTTTCGTCGAGTGCTCGACTGCACACGTTTACAAAGGTGGCTCGAGTCCGCGCAAGGAGGACGACAAGTTGCAGCCCTGGCACAAGCTCGCTAAGTGGAAGATGAAGGCCAGTGAGGAGCTGCAGAAGATCCCCAACCTTCACTACTGCTTGCTTCGGTTGCCACACGTCTATGGCGAGTATGATTCCGGTTATTTTGCAATGGGTATCTGCCTTGCGCGAGTTCACTTGGAATTGCAGAAGAACTTGGAACTTCTGTACACAAAGGACCTGAAGATCAACACAATCTACATCAAAGATGCAGCAGGTGCGCTCTGGAAAGCAGCAGAATGGAGGGCAAGCGCTCCGACGGATGGGTCGGCCCCCATTGCTTTCAACGTGGTCGACCATGGTGACACTCGCCAAGAGCACATAGCAGATGCTCTGTCGGAGGTGTTCGGCATGAAGGTCGAGTTCCTCGGTTCTTTGGCATCTCAATTCGCTAAGATGAACCTGGACGATGTTGTGGATGATATGAACGAGGAGTGCCTGCAGGGCTGGGCCGACCTGCTTGAAGAGAAGAAAATTCATAGGCCAGGACCGATCAGCCCGTTCTTGGAGCGGGATGTTCTCAGGGACCAGGACATGTCCATCGATGGCACATTGTTTGAAAAGACCACAGGCTGGAAGCCTACTCGTGAGCGCTTCGATGCTGATGCTGTTCGGGCCATGGTTGAAAGCTACAAACGAATGGGCTGGTGGCCTTAAACATATGGGTCGACGCGAATCTCCTTACCGACCACCACTTTCTAAACATGATACGCGCAAGTGTCATCGCGACCGATTCGGACGAACCCATTGCGTGTGCTCTGATACCCCGGCCGTGAATCACTACGGCCTTGCACCAGGTCAGATCAACCTGACTCAACCCGCCAATTTGATAAAAGCACCTAGAGTTTGTTCACCCATTGAATTTCCTTCGCTTCCGGTACGGACACTGTACAACACGGAAATCACGGATCTTGTGCTTTGTAATATTATTATCCCATGCTTGGGACACTCTGGGTTCCTGTTATCGAGCGATTGGTATGTACTACTATATTCTTGACTTTCTTGTCAATTGGTGTTTGGAGTTTCACAAGTCCCCATGTTCTGATCATGACCTGCATCTACACAGCTAGTTTTTATTCTGCCGCGCTGCATCTCGATAGGCTGAGCCTGTTTTGAGAATGTTGATACCTCGTGATTCTACAGTCGTTTTCTGTATTTTACTTCTTTGCTGCACTCCATCTTGGCCATGGATTTCAGCCCCCATTTCCCTCCCACCTTCAGGAGTTGTATTTCTTCATTTATCTCTTGTGATCTCTCCATACTCCTTCGCATCAATGAGGCATGATCAGGACTCAATGATGTTTTTTTGCGCGTCAAAAATGATATTTATCTTTTCGGATAGAAAGGCCAGGTCGGCACGTCGCACGCGGGCGTGGTTCAAATCCATGCGTGATCATTGCGTTGAGCATGCAAATCTCAAGTTCTCGTTTCCTTCTCAATTTAAGTTTATGTAGTTTTATCGAAACCATTGGGGTGGGGGGGGGGGAAGGGCAGGCAGATATCAAGATGAGAGAAAGACCACCATACCAGAAAAAACATTCCTTCCGTCCACCCGTCCATCAACGCTGCTTCTAGACTGTGCACAGAATTAGAACCCGGGCAATTCGAAAATACTCATCGCGTGGTCTGTATGTACATCGATCCCAGGGATCGTCATTGGGATATCCCAAGCTGACATGCGACAAGAAAAGATACGCGAAGCCATCTGACGTATACTGAACAAGGATATTGTTCCTATCCTAATCGTGCCACATAAAAATGTTTATATGAATCTTATAATCTTGTCACTGTATTTGTCTCCCTCCATCCTGCCCGCTCCTTTATAGCGCTTGTTTCCATTCGCTCCCTTTTTTTTTTTTGCTTTTCTCGTGCAATATGAAGTCTTCCTTTCCAAGGTTCTCCATAGAAAGAAGAATAGATAGATGAAATCAGAGGCAGACAAAATAACAAGACGCGAGGCTCCAAGAAATGCAATCAAAAGATGTATTGGGGGCACGGCATGCATTGTTTTCCAATAATTCACGCGTGTCGAGAGGTAAAACAGGAGAGAGGTCAGGGAAGGAGAGAAAAAAGATAAAAAGTATAGATATTTAAGGCAGCATGAAGGAAGTCTTTAACCATAAGAAGTATGTATCCAAGTTTCGAGCGCGATATAACACAAGAAACAACTGAATCAAAATTCCCAGGTCTCGTCAACGGATTTGATGGCCCATTCGAACTTCTCGCGGAGGGCCTTGGAGAAGAACTTCTCGATGGGGACGTCGAACTTCTTACTGAAGACGACGGTAAGACGGGGGTCGATATAGTTCTAGACATAGATAAGTATGAAGGACGGATCAACTGGCAGAGAGGGAAACGGGAAAAAACTCACAATCTTCGAAGTACCCAGGGCAACCTCCTTGTTGTCCTCTTTGTCTTGAGCTTGGAGCTCCATCGTCTCAATGCGCTGCTCGAGCTTCTTGATGGCGGTCTCGAGCTTCTCAACGGTGGGAGCCTTGCCTTCGGCTTCCACCTTGCCAGTCTTGTTCTCCTTGTTGAACCTCTTCTCCATGTCCTTAACGACCTCAAGACGAGAATTCAGCTCGCTTGCCTTCATTTCTTTCTCTCCATCAGCAACGAGCTTCTCGTTGTCCTTCTCGAACTTCTTCTGGATCTTTTGCCGTTGTTCTTCAAGCAGGAAAGCCTGGTGTTCCTTGACCCATTCCATGTCCATATCCTCGTCCATCTCGAAGAACTTGGCGCCTTTCTTCTTCTTCAGCGTGGGCTCAAGGTTGAGCATCTGCTGCTTGAAGCGCCAACGCTGATAGCGAAGACCCTTGATCTGATTTGCCCGAAACACATTAGCTGCAATTCAGATGAGGTGTCTGCAGAGTTTGCTTACGCGTTCGCTCATCTTCTCCATTTGGTTGGCATGGGACGCAGCGACAGTCCGCTTGTGGTTACAGAGAATAGCGACCTTGCGGTTGGCATCGTTGTAGGCCTTCACCTTCTCCGCAATATTACCCGTCGCTTTCATCTCCTTGAGCAACGTAGACATGGTGTGGGAGGCGTTGTAGGTACGGAACACTTTCGCAGTCAAGCCTTGCATGTAAGCAGACAAGTGCTTGTTGAGTGCAGAGGTCTAATGAAGTCAGATCGCGATGATCATGTGAGCTAGGAGCAGTGCAACATACCGTCAATCGATCGAAAATCTCGTCGCCCTCCTTCTTGGGCGCCTTTTTGAAGATTTTGAGGTTCTTGAAAACCTGCGCATCGACTTCGACTTCATCATAGAACCGAATACTATCCTTACCCAGGAAATCGAAGACAACCTTGTTCGGAGGCTTGAGAGTGACATTCTCGTACTTGAGAGAACAACAACCCACGGTTTCAGCCTCGTCTTCACCCTTCTCATTACCTGCACGAAGGGCAAACTGGTCGATGAGGTAGACGGCGGTGGCCTTCTGGCGCTCGACCATTAAAGCATGCTTGAGGTTCTTCTGGTAATCCTTGCGGATTCGGGCGATATGGTGCTTCAATTCACGAGCCTTTTCGAACTTCTTGTAATCACTCTGGCCCTTGACATCGGAATTGGCAGCAAGCATAACGTACTTGTAATTTCCGTTGATGTTCTCTTGCCACATGGCAAGCCATGTGCCTTCTTGGTCGTTCTTCACCTCCTTCCAACTGTGGCCTTCGGGTGGTGGAGGAACAGGGGCGTTTTTCCCGATGTTGATTGTGATCTGCTCCGGCAGAACTCGAGCCTTGACACGGCCGGTCTTGGGATGTTCACCACGACCACGGAACAAGGCCGGCGGTTCGACTCGGAAGTTGCCGACTTTCTGCTTGCGACCGTCCCACATACAGTACATGTAAGGAGCTTCTTGTTCATCTTTCTCGGCTTTTAAGCGCTTCTTCTCGGCAGGAGGCAAGTTCTTCTTCTCGAGGCGCTTCATGTCATAGTATGCGAAAATGGGTTGAAAGTCACACTTGGAGAACTCTTTGATATCAACCTTGTTGCCTTTGGAATCGGTTGCGCCCCCGGTCTTCTTGAGAATGTCCCGGAAATCCATGAAGAAATTCTTCTGGAAAGTGGGGTTTTCAACGTGGTGAGTCGAGTTCAGCATGCTGCCAAAGAAACCGGCGACCTCTTCCGCGTCAGGATGAAGATTGACGGGGATGCCGTCATATTTCAACTTAACATTTTTAGGAAGAGGTTCATAAGGAGGAGGGAAGACCACGCCATTGTGTTCGAGCGTAGTCCACTTGATCGTGCCGTCGCCCTTGGTCGGATCCTCCCACCACTTATACTCCTCCTCCTCGTCGGCGTCCTCAACTTCCTCGCTTTCTTCCTTTTTCACGGGGGTTGCTTTGGGGGTCGCTTTTGCGGTAGAGGCTTTCGTAGGAGTAGCCTTGCCGGCCGCAGCTCCGCGCTTGACGGTAGTGACAGCAGTCTTCTCTGGAGCTCTGGCGTGTTTGGCTGTCTTTTTCACGATACTGGGCTTCGCGTCCTCGGGCTCCTTCTTCACGCCATTGGTTTGCTTCTTAGCCGCTGTTGCCTTGGTGGTCTTCGGAGTAGCCGTGCTGCGGCTGGACTTGGCTTCTTTCTCGCCTTTCACTTGGATCCGTTTCTTCTCAGCAGCGAGCTTCCTCTCGATGGGGACATCCGAGTCTGATTCATCACCGATGGCGGTTTCGGAAGCCTTCGGGAGTTTGCGACCGTTGAGCGCGAGAGGCACATCATCATCCGTCTCAGGGTCCTCGTGCTTAACAGACGTGCGACGACGCTTGCTCTATCGAAAAGTCAGCCGATTGACTAGATTCGTAACCGACGTTGAACATGGAACACTGGGAGTGGCGGAGGTAGGTGTGGCGTACCAAAGGTTGATCCTCCTCGCTGCTTTCCGGCTCAGCATATGACTTGATTTGACCAACACTGTTGCGCGACTTCCTCTTCGAAGCGGCGCCGGCTTGAGCATCTGCATCCGCCATCTCAACATCATTTTCGGATTTCACCGGACCGAACCGAATTGACACTCCAGGGTCAACATGACCGTTTGTCTCTGTCGCACCATTCCATGTCAAGTTAGTGGATATACTGGAGTGATCAATGGAGGGTAGACGTGAAGAAGTAATGATGTTGGGGTGAGGGGTGGGTAGGCGCATTGAGGCGAATGTCACTCAATAGGAAGGGAGAATTGAAGACTGAGTAAAACGGGGAGCGAGAACAGCACGCGAAAGCATGTATGCTAAATTGATGAAACTCACCCGTATGGCGACCATTGGCCTGGACGAGTGGGGTGTCATCGTCCGAGGAGCTCATGTTTGCAAGGCGACGGGGATGATAGAAGCGCTGAGAGCCAGAGGCCCGGTACGAGGCAATCCGGGAAACGGAACTCGAAGGATGTGAGATTATTGAACCGCTGAATTTGGCGAATGGAAGAGGCGCTTGACGGAGGGATGCGATCAATGAAAGCCTGGCCAATGAGAGAGCTACCAGAGGACGAAGCGTCACAGAGGAAGATACATGGACGATGGACGCTAAGGACAAGAGAGGAGCCAAGAGGAAGATTGAGAAGAGAAGAGATAAGAAGAGGGAGAGAAAATCGGATGAAAGGCAGGGGAGGGAAACAATCAATGGAGAATGGGGAAGCTGAAAAGAAGGGGAAGAAAGAGCCAAGAGAGATGACAAGAGGGAAAAAAGACTGAGGCAAGAAAGAGAGAAGAGAGAGAGAGAGAGAAGAGACGAGAGCGAGGCGAGAACCTGGAATGGAATGGAAAACGAGGCCGTCCCGGGTTTGGGGCCTGAGGCGATCGATTACCTACAGTACTAACTAACTAACTATAGACTCATAGAGTCAACTTGCAAGGACTTAACTAAGGCTCACCTCATGATTTCCAAGTTAAACTTTCACGTTTCTCCGGACCGTCCAGCCACTCCCAGCGCGAGAAGCGGCCAGAAAACCACTGGCCTGAGGAACCCAACCCCCACTCAGTTGGAGAACTGGATGACGATTCCATTTCATTTGCGCCGGAGAGAGCTGTGGATGTCTGAGGGATCTTTATTATTGCCTGGGTACTCCGTACAGTCGGTAGATCGGAGTGGCGAAGTCACATGACTGTTTGTAGTGTTTGTGATGTTGATGATGTTGCCGGCACTTGCATTGTAGGTCCCTCCTGCCACCCGAATCATCACACTCACAACACTATCAGCATCTTCCCAATCTGTACTAGCGTGAACTGGAATCCCGTGCTGGCCGGCTGTCGGAAGAACAGAAACAGGAGTCCCAAGTTCAACCACCGACTTCTCATCCGCCAGCCCCAAAAGAGGATTCTCTGACCTCCTCCCCTCCCCACCCCTCCCCCCTCCACAACTTGCTATATTGTTGGTCTTAGATCCGACCGTACGGTTTCTTCCACATTCAAGATGTTCTCCCGTGCTGTTCGTCCGGCCGTTCGCGCTGGTAGTATTGCGGTCTCCCGGTAAGTTCCCTCAGTCCGGGCCATCCACACAACCCACACCCACACTCACAGCCCGTTGCCCATTGTGCATTGCCTTGCCAATGGCTCGCCAATATCAATCGACCTGGAACAATGGAAGAGCTTGAGTTGATGAGATGGTTCAATGGCTGATTTATCCGGAAGCACTGCTCCTCCCAACGCCGCCAACTTCGCGACTCTGCGTGAAATCGAGGGCCGTCTCAAGTCCATCAAGAACATCGAGAAGATCACCAACACCATGAAGGTCATCGCCTCTACCCGTCTTACCCGCGCCCAGAAGGCCATGGAGGAGTCCCGCAGCTACGGTCAGACCTCCAACACCGTTTTCGAGCAGGCTGAGACCAAGCCCCTCGAGGACAAGAAGACTCTGTTCGTCATCGCCAGCTCCGACAAGGGTCTCTGCGGTGGTATCCACTCCGGTCTCAGCAAGGCCACTCGCCGTATGCTCCAGCAGACTCCCAACGCCGACATTGTCGTCCTCGGTGAGAAGGCCAAGGCTCAGCTGTCCCGTACCAACCCCAACGCCATCGTCCTGAGCTTCGCCAACGTCTGCAAGGACGTCCCCACCTTCGCCGATGCTCAGGCCATCGCCGACCAGATCTCTCTGCTCCCCGAGGACTACGCCAGCGTTAAGATCGTCTACAACAAGTTCCTGAACGCTCAGAGCTACGAGCCCGCCACCGTTGAGGCTTTCTCCGAGGAGGCCATCACTCAGTCCCGTGAGTTTGAGCCGTTTCTGCACTCAAGTGAGCTACATGCTGAATGATCTTTACAGCCAACCTCTCTGCCTACGAGACTGATGAGGAGACTCTCACCAACCTCCGCGAGTACGCTCTTGCCAACAGCTTGTTCTGGGCTCTTGCCGAGGGTCACGCCTGCGAGATCTCTGTGAGTCGCTTCTGTTGAACTATCACGCCATGAATCAATGCTAATCAGATACAAGGCCCGTCGCAATGCCATGGAGAACGCTTCCAAGAACGCTGGTGAGATGATCAACAAGTAAGTTCTGCCGTCCCTCGTCGTGGGAACGACGCTAATGCATTGCAGGTTCCAGATTCTGTACAACCGTCAGCGTCAAGCCGCCATTACCAACGAGCTGGTCGAGATTATCACTGGTGCCACCGCCAGTGCGGACATGTAAAAGCTTTTCCGAAACTTTTGTGGGGAGGAGTCACCATGTGTGTAGACTTGCTCATAAATACCTAGATGCTTTCCAGCCTGTAAAATCTATCCTATCGTTTCTTTGTCCAGGGTATTGTTGTGTGAGATGAATGAAGTGAATCAACCATCCTATCCAGAATATGATGCTTTGAAATTATGCGATGCTGTCATTGTATTGATGCTATCAGGGAGAGTATAATACCGAAGCTGTGAATTCACTTCGAGTATCTATTATCTCGTTGACATACACACTGCACGCTGCATCTGTACTGAGTATTAAATATGGTATCGATTCACAATCGAGATAACTGTTCATAGGCATCCTCTGTCCAACTGTCGCAGTTCGCAAGTGTGAATGTGTTCTCAGTCTTATTGACCTTCGGATAGCTATGCCCTCTATGAGTACACTCAGGACCTCCGATTCACTCCTATTACTCCTAGGACACTCTACCTTATAAAAGCAGCCTGCCTGCCTTTCTCCCTCCTCTACCAATCCTCAATTGACCACCTGTCACCCACTGCAGTCTCGATCACCCACCCAATCGATCCATCGAGGTAGTCTACATCAACAAAACAAACGCAAACACTTCTGAGACACAAATCACAACAACCTTCTCAAACACACACCCCTCCATCCCCAGCACCTCGACATCTCCCAATTCCACTGCCTCCTTCACTTCAAGCCTACCCACGCCGACGTTACCTCATTTCATCTTCCCAATCCTTTTCCCAATCCCGCTCCTCCACCACAAGCCCACCAACTTCACCCACCTGCACCTCTCGAATCCCCAAACCGAACCCCAAAAAACCACCACACCAGACAAGAACGCATGCAGCCCGCCCACCACCACCGCCGACACACCCAACGGGCAAAATGACGACCCCAACCTTTTCCTCGTCCACCTTCATCGACTGCTACGCAACCCTCAACATCCAGCCGCACGCCGACCTCAAAGAGATCAACAGCGCCTACAAGCGCCTCGCTCTGAGGTATCACCCGGACAAGACCGAGGGAGGAGATGCCGAGACGTTCCAGAAGGTGAGTGCAGGTGCAGCTGGGCTGGTTTACGCAGATACGCAGATATACCCACACCCACACCCAAACCCAAACAAAACACGCTTTTACTTTACTCGTCTTTCCCCCTCCCCTCTTCTGTATATCAGATTACCCTTGCCTTCCTCTCTTTCACCCCTCATAAAAGCCATTATCGGAAGCTAAACTCACCAATACGTAAACAGATCCTCTACGCCGTCGAAACCCTCCGCGACCCCAACCACCGCGCCATCCACGATGCCGCCCTCGATGAACACCGCTGTCGCAACCTGAAATACACCGCAGACGCGGGGGCCTTCTTTCGTCGCGGCTACCACCGTCACCACCACCACCACCAGCAGTATCGTGCCGATGACCCACATAACCAAAGCCGATACGAGGCCTCTTACCGCCACAGCGTGCACATGGATCCCACGGCGCCGGAGTCCATTGAGATCATGGAGCAGATGCGTCGGGACCGGGAGTATAGCGAGCAGCTGGAGCGGGAGCGAGAGCGGGAGACTCGAGAGGCGGAGAAGGCTGCTGCTGCTGCTGCTGCCGCCGCCGCCGCGGGGTTGTTTCAGGAGGAGCAAGATGGGGATGGGAAGGGGTATGACCCAGGCCGGGTGGTGGATGATGAGTTGAGTTCATGGTCTTCTTCGTCGGAGGAGCCGATGGGGTATTATGATGAAAGTGGGTGTGTGGTGACGAGGAAGAAGGATAAGAAGAAGAAGAAGAAGAAGAAGCAGGCAAGGGGGAGAGGAAATGCTGGTGAGGGGGTGAAGGGGGTGGAGAAAGAGGTGAACGAGGAGGAAGAGGAGGAGGAAACTTGGATTGGGTATTCGGATAAGACGGCTTATTGGTCGGACGAGAAGCAGGCTAAGGAACAGGCTCAGGAGGAGAGGCGCGCCAGGTGGATGGCTAGTCTGTTGGATCCGGATGCGGGCTGGAAGTCTATGAAGTATTCTTGGGGACGGCAGCAGGAGGAGAACAAAGAGGAGTCTGAGAAGGATCTCGAGGAGGAGTATGACGAGGAGTATGACGAGGAGTATGACGAGGAGTATGACGAGGAGTATGAGGGAGAGGAAGGTGAGTATGAAGAGGGGGAGGAGGAGGAGGAGGAGGAAGACGAAGACAAAGACGAAGACGAAGACGAAGAGGAGGAGGAGGAGCAGTCCGACGAAGAGGACAGTGCTGACCTCCTATCAGAGGGTAAATCCGATGGGCAAGAGGAAAGCACCTCCATGAGTAATCTGATTGATCTCGAAGACGACGCCAATGACCACCCAGAGATGCCCACTGTGGCCAGCAAAGGAAGCACCGGGTCTGCCACTGAGCTCGTCCCTGAAGACCACCATCAGTCGGCCGATCTTTTGGACTTGGTGGAAGACAAGAACTCACAGGCTAGTAAAGCGAACAATGATCTGGGAAAATGCAAGAACAAGGTGGATCTGGATGGACAGCCAGGCCGTGCGCAAGGACACAAAGACGCTGGCTGGAAGGAGAACGATGAATGTGTGAGTCTAGCCGGCTTCTCCTGGTTCTAGCAAGTCTTAAGGACCATACTAAGTTTGGAATTAGTATGGAACCCCCGGGGCCGAAGTCTTCCACGAGATGTTCTGCAAAGAGGATATTGGCCCGAAGCGGAAAGAAGTATGCATGTGTGGAAGGGTCGAGGGTATCGCAGACGATGAAGAGGACTGGTTCCGCTATCCTGGGCAGATGCCCTGGGGCATGAGCTTGCCAAACAAATTCTCCAAACGCAGCACCACCGACAACGACGACAACTATGACGATGAAGACACAGAAGAAGAAGAGGACAACTTCGAGGGAGATGCAATCGGCGGTCACGAAGGAGAAGACCCTGAAGACGACTCGACAGTCCACAACTCCAACCACAGCCCATACACCAACCACAACGATCACGATCACACCCAACCCACACCAAAGACCTCAAACACCGCCAATGGCTACATCGACATTCCCTCCGAAACCAACTCCCACTCCGAAACCTACCACTTCTACGATACAAAAGCCGAGCACCCAGCCGCCGCAGAGCAATCCGATTCCGACTTTGTGACCGCAAACGAGGACCCGGCCATGTCGACCGACTCCCTGACCCGGCCCGCCAACATCATCGCAGCACCCCCACACGGCCTCAGCGCCTACCTCACGCCGCTACTCCCCTACTTCGAGTCCAAGCTTAACCGAAGCGACGGCCGCTACACCCCGGACGACATGGTCGTCGAATGCCGCGGGATCATCTTGGAGACCTTCTGCGGGTGGATGGAAGGCGTGCGGCGTACGTTCCGGGATGCGGCGACGCGTGGCTGCAACGACGAGGGTGAATGCCTGCATCTGGGTTACTGGGACAAAGCCTATGGGCAGGCGGAGTGCAAGGTCTGCGGGCAGTGGGAGCCGATCTTTACACTCACCTGCCCCGGTTGCGGGCTGGAGGCGTGCGTGGCGTGCAAGTTTACGGCGCCGGCTACTTGAAATCGTGGTCAGGTGTCTGGTAGCCTGGGATGAAATCTTACCGTGGTGAACATTTAATGGAGCTGAAATGACGAAGAGAGAGAGGGATTTGGCATGTAATTCTTGATATGGACCAGGTTTTTCTTCTACGCGAACTCTTAATCGATCAATCTATCTATCAAATCTGAATACGACCAGCTCACGATTCCCATTCTCACCAACAATGTACCTCTCGTTTCCGTAGATCTTGCCTCGGCCAGTGAGCTCAAATGCCTTATCCTGCATGAGTCTGGTGTGCGAAGTAGGGGTTTGAATGCTCAGAAGCATTCGCATGTCGAACGGCCACCGGATCGACGACATATATAGACAATACCCCACTTGGGCTTTCTCGTCGTACGCTTCCGAGACAATAGCATAGGATGGCTCATTCCATGGAGAGGACCTAAGGGGACCCGTCTGCAAGCTACAGTTGCCGCGGTAAGGGGGCAGGGAGACATCCACCGCTCGTCTCCAAGCAGGGCCATCTCCGACCAAGGGGATTGTAGTCACCCGCACCTCAGTGGTCCAGTCCGCTGGGCCCCTTCGTACCTGCGGCTCTGGACATCGACTTTCGAGTATTTCTATCGAATGATCATCGTCCGTGATATTCAGACACTGCACCCCGGGGAGGCCTCGTTGGCGCACAGAATAGAAGCCCAGCTCTCTGAAGCCGAACCGAGAGACGATCGGGGGCCCTTGGTCCTCGGCCTCCTCGCGCAGCCGACCCGTAGGATCCAGGGAGGGCCGGTACGACGACGGGGCTGAGATGTCCCAGACCGAGAGCGACTCGATCGGGGCATCGTCGTCGGCCGTGTACAGGCTGCGGTTCGGCTGCCAGATGTAGATCGCATAGTGCGTCTTGCTGTGGGTCGAGTAGAACCGGTCTCTCTCACTTAGCGGATGGCCGAGGAACATGATCTTCCACTCGTTGCGGAAGAAGATGCTCCAGGTGCCGGTCGACGGCGACTGGGTCACGTCGAACGAGGAGGCGAAATGCCGATGCACGCCGTCGCTGTCGTTAAGCCAGTGGAAGGCCTTGGGCTCGGCCCATTCCACCACCAGCACCCGCTTCTGCAGGCGGAGGCGCCGGATGACTTTGCCGGTGATGATGAAGGGCACCATGAACCGACGGCTCGTGTCCAGGTCCATGAGCACCAAGCAGGCATGGTCCGCACTCGGATACACCACCACGCCTTCCTCGTAGGACCAGAAGGACTCGGAGAATAGGCAGTCCACGCGCTGTACGAGTTGGCTGGCGTGGGTCTCCCACGGCTGGACTGGGAACCACTCCCGCTCGCCCGTGACGCCAAAGTCGTCACATAATCTATACTTCTCTACGGATTGGGGTTGGCCGCGACGCAAGTGGTCGTATCGAGACGCAATCCCGTCGAAGAGTTTGCGCCAATGATCGTCCTCTGCGGCTGCGGGCG